AAAAAAAAAAAAAAAAAAAAAAAAAACCAAAAAAATGTCAACAGCAACCAGGAGATTCAATTTGGCTGTGAGAATTGATTTTCAAGTAAAAGATAGAATTTGGGTGAGGTGGCAAGAAAGATGGAAAATGATTTCCCTAGAAAAAAGTCTAAAACACCATAAAAAAATGATTTCCATTTTCCATGGAATTTAACCTCTATCAAATATGGCCTTAGAGTGTGCTTGATGGCATGAAAAATATCACTTATAAAAGAAAATGATTTATATCCTTTGTGGAAAATAAAAATCACATCTATCCAAGGAAAATATTTTCCTTAAAAACAAGGAAAATTAGACATATTTTCAAAAGTTGGAAAATATTTTCCCAATCAAACTCTCCAAGTAGGAATTTGGGTAAAAAAGTGATATTTTCTTAGAAAATAAATGTAATCAAATACACTCTTAGTTTAATTGTAATTCTAACCGCTCATAATGTTGGTATTAATGTTGTCACATTTAAAAAATGCTCCTAAAAATTATAAATTGACATCACCTGATATTTAGAAAGATAAAGTAAATGTTTATGCTGCTAAGATAATCAACGTTATTATCAAAGATATTGGTGATTCTATATTTTTTTATTCTAATTGATGAATCTCATGACGTGTTAACAAATGAGCAATTTTTATTTGTTTTAAGCTAAAAAATAGTGGACTCGTAATTGAACGTTTCATAGAAATTGAACATGTTACAAGTACCGTAACTCTTTCACTTAAGGTTGCAATTGATAAAAATCTTCTCTAGATATAACTTGAGTATGTCAAGATTGAGAAGACAATGCTATAATGGGGCAAGTAAAATGCGAGATAAGTTTAATGGTGTCAAAGTTCTCATTTTAAAGGAGAACCCATGTACATTTTACATTCATTGTTTTGTTCATCCACTTCAATTAACTGTTGTAGAATATTCCATTACTAATATCTTTCATGTAGTTGGTGATATGGCAAATACTATTGAAACATATTCTAAACTTTTTGATCTTCTTCAAGAAAAATAATCAAGACTTTACTATTGAGGCATTGGAGAAAGGTGAGATTTTAGGTAAACGAGGACTTAATCAAGAAACAATACTTTAGCATACTAGTGATTCATGGTGGGGTCATATTATAATTCTTTAACCAGCTTGCTTGCCATGTTCTCTACTGCAAGTGATGTGTTTGAAATTACTATTAAAGATGACTCTTGTTCTTGTGATCAAAGAGGTGATGCAACAAATTTATTGGAACTGATACATCATTTGATTTTGCATGTAATATACACTTGATGAGAAGTGTCTAGGGGATTTCAAATGAACGGTCAACAGGCATTAAAAAGGACGAATAAAAACATTGTGAATGCAATGCAATTGTTAAAATTGTGTAAACATCGAAATCTATTCACCATATAAATGATTGTGCTCCTGTAATATGGGTTAATGGCAAAAAGAAAGTGTGATTATTATTATTATTATTTAGTTGATGAGATTTTGATTCTATCAAATCTGGTCACATCATATATGTATCTCCCATTTGGTCCACATTAGATTAATTTTTTTTCTTTCTTATTTTCAATCACATAATCTTTCATAAAATAATATTATATGTAAATTAAAAATTTTTCTTTTCTTTTCAATTACTCATTTTAAAAAGAATACTATTCCACCCATTTTAATTTTAAAAGGTGGGGCCAAACAGGGTTACGGGGCCGTAAATTGTGATTTAACGTCTTTTCGTCAGCAATTTGAAAAGGCTGAGGATGATATTAATCAGTACTGAAGGATAGGAATAATGCACATTTCGCAAAGAATGGGGGACCTTTATGGCAAAATTTACTACATTTAAAATTTTAAAAAGAAAGCGCGTATGCTGTTAGTAGAAGATACTCTCCATTTAATTGGGCAGAGAAATTGTAGACACGCGCGTACACACCCTTCAGACACCGGGCAATCCAATTTCGAGGTTCGAGTCATTGACTTTTCCGTTGCTCCCAGAATCAATCGCCATCTTCAAAATACCAATCTTCTCTTGCAATCTCAGTAGATTTCTCTTTGTTGGAGACTTCATAGTCAAGCGCTGTTTTCATCATCTGCTTTTGCAAAAGCAGTATATGAAGTGGATTAGGTAGACCAAACTCATAAAGCTGCTGAAATTTCGAAGCAGCAGATTTGGTGGATTAGAAGGATATACTTTCGCCATCTGGACGTAAAATAAGCTGATATTTGTTGTTGTGGTTTGGTAGTTTAAGAAAAGAAGCTTTATGGGGAGTTATATGGAGGAGTTTACGGAGGTAAAGGCGAAGAATTCGTCGGAGGAGGCGTTGCAACGGTGGAGGAAGGCGTGTTGGCTGGTCAAAAATCGTAAACGAAGGTTCAGATTTACTGCTAATCTCTCCAAGCGTTTCGAAGTTCGCGAGATCCAAAGATCTAATCAGGTTAATTACTACTTCTAAAAATTATCTCTCATATTATTATATTTTGTAAATACTGCCAGGAAAATATCTATCTCCTTGTACAGTTATTGACTCTATCAACAACCTAACAGTTAATGATTGGTCAGATTATTTCGTAAAAACTGTGTTTTTTTCCCTTGTGGAATCTGTAATAATATTGAAGATTTCTTTGAATTTAATCATGATTTTGGCTAGGTTTTAGTTAAATATAAAATAATGCAAGTACCAAGGATTTTTTCTACTTGCCTTTACATTAACAACAGGGTAAAATCCTGATTCGTAGGGGCCGAGTTATCAATGTTCTACAGAAAATGATAGCTAGATCTTCACAGTTTTAGGCTTTCGTTTACAAATGATTGTGCTTTTTAGAGAATCTTTAAGATTAATCTGGAATGGAAATGAATAATTATGTAATCTGATGTTCTCTGCCATTGGGAAGTAGAATGAGGTGCCTAGGTGGCATACTTACGGACAACAGTGTTTTTTCTGAAGTTGTGGGAATTTCGAGATGCAGTAAGTGTGAATCGTTTGAACTTGCAGTTTGACTACTTGGTTTTGAATTAATTCCAATTTCCACATTGCCATAGAAATTTGAGTTTGCTACTAGACCCTTTCTCTTCTGATTATTTCTCATTCTTCGGAAAGTTGTTTTATCCTGTTTTATAAACATCTAAACTTCGTACAATATTGTAGGAGAAGCTCAGAATTGCAGTATTAGTTTCAAAAGCTGCTCTCAGTTTTATTCAAGGTATGATTTTTATAGTCAAACATGAAGCTTTCTGTACGGCACTTTACTTTATATTGATTTTCTGCTGTGTCTCCAGGTATTAGTTACACTGTACCTGAGGCAGTCAAGGGTGCAGGTTTTGAAATATGTGCAGATGAGTTAGGATCCATTATTGAAGGCCACAATTTGAGTAAGCTAAAAGTTCATGATGGCGTTGAGGGTATTGCAGACAAGCTCTCCACTTCACTTAATAAAGGAATTAGTGTTTCCGAGGATTTGCTGAACAAAAGAAGAGAGATTTTTGGAATCAATAAGTTTGCTGAGAGTCCAGCCAAGGGTTTTTGGCTTTTTGTGTGGGAAGCTCTTCAAGATACAACCCTCATGATACTTGCAGTGTGTGCCCTTGTGTCGTTGATCGTTGGCATTGCAACAGAAGGATGGCCAAAGGGCGCCCATGATGGACTCGGGATTGTTGCAAGTATCTTTCTTGTAGTATTTGTCACTGCCACAAGTGACTATAAACAGTCCTTACAGTTCAAGGATTTAGACAAGGAGAAGAAAAAGATTACAGTTCAGGTTACTAGAAATGGGTACAGGCAAAAGATTTCAATATTTGATCTACTTCCTGGGGACATTGTTCATCTTGCTATTGGGGATCAGGTCCCCACTGATGGACTCTTTGTCTCGGGTTATTCTTTGTTAGTAAATGAATCGAGTTTATCTGGAGAGAGCGAACCAGTTAATGTAACTGCTGAAAATCCTTTTCTCTCATCTGGAACTAAAGTGCAGGATGGATCATGCAAAATGCTTGTTACTACTGTTGGGATGAGAACCCAATGGGGTAAATTGATGGCTACACTTAGTGAAGGAGGTGATGATGAGACCCCATTGCAGGTTAAACTGAATGGAGTGGCAACAATAATTGGAAAAATTGGTCTCTTTTTTGCTGTTGTCACCTTTGCTGTTTTGGTGCAAGGGTTGATTAACCGCAAAATGATAGAAAGGTCCCACTGGAGCTGGTCTGGCGATGATGCCCTGGAAATGCTGGAATACTTTGCTATTGCAGTTACAATTGTTGTGGTTGCTGTTCCTGAGGGTTTGCCTTTAGCTGTTACACTAAGTCTTGCATTTGCCATGAAGAAGATGATGAATGACAAGGCCCTTGTCCGACATTTGGCTGCTTGTGAGACTATGGGATCTGCCACAACTATTTGTAGTGACAAGACTGGGACACTAACAACTAATCACATGACTGTTGTAAAAGCATGCATTTGTGGGAAAGTGAAAGAAGTTAGTAACTCTGTGACGAGTTCTGTATTCTGCTCTGATTTTTCTGATTCCGTTGTGAGAATGCTGACGAAATCTATATTCACCAACACTGGGGGAGAGATAGTCACTAGTAAGGATGAGAAGATTGAAATTCTTGGTACACCAACTGAGGCTGCACTTTTAGATTTTGGCCTATTCCTGGGAGGAGATTTCCATGCCGAGCGACAAGCATCAAAGCTTGTCAAAGTTGAGCCATTTAATTCTGTGAAGAAGCGCATGGGTGTAGTTCTGTGGCGTCCTGAAGGAGGTTTTCAGGCTCATTGTAAAGGTGCATCTGAAATTATTCTGTCTGCATGTAACAAGGTTCTGGACTCAAATGGTGAGGTAACTCCTCTAGATGAAACATCCATTAATATACTGGAAGATACAATTGAACAATTTGCAAGTGAAGCTCTGCGAACTCTGTGCCTTGCTTACAAGGATATTGGAACTGATTTTTCTGCTGAAAATCCTATTCCATTTGAGGGTTATACCTTGATTGGAATCGTGGGTATTAAAGATCCAGTTCGTCCTGGAGTTAAGGAGTCTGTTGCAATTTGTAGGTCAGCTGGTATTACAGTGCGGATGGTTACCGGAGATAACATAAACACGGCTAAGGCAATAGCTAGAGAATGTGGAATATTGACTGACGATGGTATTACAATTGAAGGCCCAGAATTTCGTGTGAAGAGTGAAGAAGAGTTGCATGAACTCATCCCGAAAATACAGGTACTTTATTTTGGAAATTGTTTACTGCCTCTGGAGAGCTCGTACTGCTTGTTACTGAATTCCTGTAGTGTTTTTTTTTTATATTTTTTAATTGGGAATTTAGCAATTATTTCATTTTAGAACTCTAAATCTGTTAACGTGGTTTTAACTTAGTTATTCGGTATTTCCCTAAACTTTTGCCCATCCAAAAGACCCATGGGATAACTGTTAGTGCGATGTTCTCCACTCATTTTAACTCTAGGTTCAAAGTTCTTTGCATGGAAAGATATGGCATTTGTGCTGATAATGAGCGATTCTCTTCCTGAATATAGTTATTCTAATTGCAATTGGTTCACCTATAAACTTATTCGGGTTAATTTTTTTATGAAAATATAGTTGGTTTATATCTTATACTTGCGTCTTTGTAAGGTAATGGCTCGTTCTTCACCTATGGATAAGCATACCCTTGTGAAACAGTTACGATCAACTTTTGAAGAGGTGGTTGCAGTGACCGGTGATGGCACAAATGATGCTCCTGCACTTCATGAGGCAGACATTGGGCTTGCAATGGGCATTTCTGGAACCGAGGTGATGTTTGAATGCTATTTTATTCCTGTCCATTACATTTATCCTTTGCTGTCTTGTTGCAACAAGATCTCTTGTATATTTTTCTGAAACTTTTATGACTGCTTCACTGGGCGATTCAATTGAAACACCCAGTGAAGAGCAGAATATTCCTGGAAAACAAGTTCATATAATGTTCAATGTTCCTTTGCTTTTAACTATTCTCTTTGTTCAAGACGAATCCCTTTATCTTGGTAGGAAAGAATGATGTTAACAGCGTAATAAATAATTGATAAGTCATTGGACAACTTGATGAATTACCTCAGGCATTGTAAAATCATTTAACCATCTTGAGCTTGGACACGGCAAAGAGCATTAAAAATACATTTTAGAGCGTCTTTTGACTCCACTTACATTGCAGCTTTACTACAGTGATTGTATTTGTTTAATTGTCTGTCCTTCCACTCTATGATATAATCTTTTGTTTTTCTAAAAACTTTTGTAACCAATTTCTGCCTATTTAATTGGTGTTTGAAAAAAATTTATCTATAAGAAACCTTTATAAATTGAAGGTTACCCAAAGCATATTGTATCAATGACTTGCCATAATTTCCATCCTATTCTTGTATTTAGACCTCATTTTGTGTCTGATTTAACTTTGGTTCTAGCTCCTCAAGATAAGTGTTTCCGTACTTTTTGGGTGCACTCTAGCGTGGACCACTTTTCACATTGTGAGAAGATATTTGTATTGGGATATGGGTTTGAGAGGTTATGAAAGATCCTTTTCATGGTCAAAAGTGATTTCTGATTTGTCCCCTCAGGATGCTGAGCCAGAAGATATTTAGTTTTTTTTTGTCAGTCTTAACATGCTCATCATTGACCACTGTCATTTGGAGCTTACAGACCTCTCCGTTCCTTGAAAAAAATCTGGATCGATTTTACCTTATGTCTCTTCATTAGTCCCCAGTATCTAACATTTGGTGGCTGAAAACTCTATCTCCGCTCGTATTGATTCTTATTGGCCCATAATTTTCCAGGTGGCCAAAGAAAGTGCTGATGTTATAATTCTAGATGATAATTTCTCTACCATTGTTACCGTGGCAAAATGGGGGCGCTCAGTTTACGTGAATATTCAGAAATTTGTTCAGTTTCAGCTGACAGTTAATGTGGTTGCTCTTATTGTCAACTTCTCTTCAGCCTGCTTGACAGGTAAACTCACCAATCTCCATGTCAGGTTTCTCTTATACAATATATATATTGACTAGTATAATATACATTTTCATTAAGATTTCTGTTCTGCTGCGTTGACGTCTTTCAGGCAGTGCTCCACTTACGGCGGTTCAGCTTCTATGGGTCAACATGATCATGGATACTCTTGGTGCCCTTGCCCTGGCCACTGAACCTCCAAATGATGACTTGATGAAGAGATCACCAGTTGGAAGGAAAGGAAACTTTATCAGCAATGCAATGTGGAGGAACATCTTGGCGCAATCTGTTTATCAATTTGTTGTCATATGGTATCTTCAAACATCAGGAAAAACAGTCTTCAACCTTGATGGCCCTGATTCTGATTTGATTCTGAACACCCTAATTTTCAACTCATTCGTCTTCTGTCAGGTATTCTCAACAAACAAGAAAAGTAATTAACTTTATTTCGTTGGTTGTCCCCAAATTTTTGTCAGTTTCAGTGCAATTGACGTCTATTTCCATGAAATTAATCGGGTCTCATAGTCGAAGCAATATTACATAACTTCAGAGTTGCAAAATAAATTTCTTGCAGGTTTTTAATGAGATAAGCTCGAGGGATATGGAGAAGATAAATGTGTTCAAAGGCATACTGGAGAACATTATATTTGTGGTTGTCCTGAGTTTCACAGCTCTATTCCAGATCATTATTATCGAATTCCTTGGTACGTTTGCCAATACGCACCCTCTCACTTGGCAGCAATGGGCTGTGAGCGTTCTGCTCGGATTTCTTGGCATGCCAGTTGCTGCTGCTGTGAAGATGATCCCAGTGGGATCAAGATGAAATCATATGGGCAATAAGTTATTTTCTAACTATATGTGTTCTAAGAATCACATTGGATCCAGCAGGAGGATACGTGTTTCCCACATCTTCGAACTTTACAGCCATAGAATTGGAGACCTATAATGAAACAACTGCTGGAGAAGGTTGGCAATTTGTATGCATGTTGTAGACTTTAAGGATATTTTGGTTTGAAGTGTGTGGACTCGACAGACTAGAAATTTCGTCTTACCTTGTGAAGGAATCAGGACTGTTACTGTGTCCTGTAATTTTTTGGTATTGTTCAATGATACTAAGCCCCCGTTTGGCCCCCATTAATTTTGACTATAATGGAAAATTTTCGATTTACGTGTAATATTATTTTATTAAAGATTGTGGTGAAAATAGGAAAGAAATTTAATGAATACCAAGCGGGGGCTAATTACTGTCTTCATTCATTCATCTGTTCTCAATTATTTTTCCTCTTATTTTTTATCCCAACTTTTTTTCATTCGTGTAGATTTTGGTTACTAGGTTCTAGTTCCCTTTCTGCTTGGAGGGGATTATTCAGATGTTCTCTCTTCGTTTAGTGCTTGTTTGGCTCAGCTTAATAGTAAAATTCATGAGATTAAAAGTATACAATGAATAAGATCCTATGTATCTCATCAATAATTGTAACTTGTAAGAGATTAAAGAAGATTTTAGGTATTGGGGTAGAAGTTTCAAATCTCAATACATCCACCAATAAAACTTCTTTTTAAGTAAAAATCGCTATTAAGCCGCACGGCATTTGGTGTTGAACCCAAACTCCGAAATTGGATAGATTTTGTCATTTAAAGGTGACAAAAAGCCGTTTTACATCAAATGTGATGAATTTTTATTTTAAAAAAAAAAAAAAAAGAAAAGGGGAAAAGAAAAACCCTACTGAAAAGATTTTTGAACTCATGACATTTCACATACCAATTGAACACACTACCACCAATATATGATGTTATTTTAGTATATATGTACGTATGTATGTATTTTGACAACAAAATATTTCGCCCCTCTGAACATATTGGGCTTGAGGCCGCCTCTTGGGCCTTGCTTCAGGTCCAACCCAGGCTAGACCTAGTCACTCTATTTTTACAATGTGAAAAGTGAAAATTAGAGATTCTAATAGATTAAAAATTCACATTTCATAAATAAGATGTCATGTTTAGTATTTCATAAATCAGAAATTTTTTTAATTAATTAATATAATTAAAAATTAATTAAATTAATAATTTCAAACCTAATTATCGCCAATCTCTCTCTGCCCAATCTCAATTCCCTCTCTCTCTCTCTCTCTCTCTCTCTCTCTCATAATTCTGTATTTTAATTTAATAATAATATTATAAAATAAATTAATCTAAAAACTCTCTCTCTCTCTCTCTCTCTCTCTCTCTCTCTCTCTCTCTCTCTCTCTCATAATTCTGTATTTTAATTTAATAATAATATTATAAAATAAATTAATCTAAAAACTCTCTCTCTCTCTCTCTCTCTCTCTCTCTCTCTCTCTCTCTCTCTCTCTCATAATTCTGTATTTTAATTTAATAATAATATTATAAAATAAATTAATCTAAAAACTCTCTCTCTCTCTCTCTCTCTCTCTCTCTCTCTCTCTCTCTCTCTCTCTCATAATTCTGTATTTTAATTTAATAATAATATTATAAAATAAATTAATCTAAACCATTTTTTTCAAAACCTAATCCCTAAATTTACTACCCAATTCTCATTCTCTCTGATGTCTCGTTCTCTCACCATTCTCTTTCTATTGTGTCGTCGTCGGAGCACTGTCGAAGCCGGTCAACATCGTCGATCGGCAGTCACCAAAGGGGAAGAAAGACTCAACACGCCTCTATCGTTGTTCGCACCTCGATCTGCAGTCACCATTCCATTCTCTTTCTACTGTTCAATTTTTTTTTTGGATGAATTTATGGCATTTGTGGCAATTTTTTGTGATTTTTGAGGTGGTTTTGTGGTGGTAGTGGAGGTGTGCAAGGCACCCGCGATCTGATGGTGCCGCGATTGATGATTTTGACTTTGGTGTACGGTGGATCGGTGGTAGTGTGATTACAGTGGTTGTGTGGATGATGTGGATCGGTGGTGGTGTGATTACAATTTACAGTGGTGGTGATTTTTTGATCGGCAGTGGTGTGTTATAGTGATGGTGATTTTGCGTTGATGTGGTGGTGGGTTTGCATTGACGTCGTGTGTGGTGGTTGCTGTTAAGGTGGTTTTGCACAATCTGGTGAGACGATGGTGGTGGTCGGGGGTGGATGGGATGGGACTGGGGTTGTTTGTCACAAATTATTTAATTGATTGTGACCTACAAAATGTAATTGTGACTCATGATTTATGAAGTTGTGACCGTAAAATTAATTGTGATCAATCATTTTGATAATTTGTTATTGACAAATAAGTTGTGATCAATAAGAATTTTGATTTTGTCACCAATCAATGAATTGTGACTCATGAAATTTTTTATTTGTGATCGAGAATTAAGTTGTGACCAATAAAAATTTAGATTTTGTGATTGATCAATGAATTGTGACCTATGAAATTTTTGATTTGTGATCGACAAATAATTTATGACCTACAGAATTTTCGATTTGTCACTTAAAAATAATTTGTAACGAATTAATTTGATAAGCTGTGACCAATTATATAGATTTGTGACCTTAATATGTTTAATTAATAAAATATTTTTTAATCAATTATTTCATAAATAAATTTTAATAATATCTGAATTTTGAAATTGTAAACCTCTTTTCTTAGTTTTGAAATAGGTTATAGATAAACTCTTATAAATGAATTTTTCCCATGTGAAAATCACATACAGGCCTACTTTTTAAAATTTAAATTTCTTAAATCATATTTTATGCTTTATACTTCAAAATCCAGATTATAATTGATTATTTAATATTATTAAATAAATATATTGTTGATAATTCATTCCATCCACCACACCCCCACATCGTCCCCTCTCATTAAAAAAATGGTGACCCCTCTCTCTCTCTCCCTCCCTCTCTCTCTCTCTCTCAATCTTGCCTCTTTCCTCCTCTAAAAAACAAACATCATTGATCGTAGTTGGAAACCAACCACCCGAGTGTGCAAGTCCTCCGCAATCGCACGCCAGTAATTGGAAACCAACCACCCTAGCATGCAGGTCCACTACAATCGCACGCAAGCAGACAACCGTGCATAGTGCAGTCGCTCGTAGGATCGCCACACGCAATGTAGCTGTGTGCAGGACCACTATTGTGGCTCTATCAACCACTCACCTATACCATTCCTTCAGATTTGTCCGATCGCTTGTCAAAAATTGAAATATAAAGCCCCAATCAAACAAACAGTAGATGAGGAAACCAGAATACATGAGGAGCTAGTAGTGGTGGAGAAAGATTGTGGTTTTCCTGGTTTTTAATTGCTTTTCTGATTTTAAGGAAGAGTGGTGGTTTTTCTCGTCGTTTAAGAAGAGCCGCTGCAAAGCGAAGATGGTGTTGTCCGGTGTTGAAGAACGGCGTCATGTGCAACAACAGTTGGTGTCGTTTGTTGCAACAACAAGTCTTGGTGTTGTGGTGGTGGTTGTGGTGATGGGGTGCTATTGTGATGCTATGGGTATGGTGGTGGTGCGGTGGTTGGGTGAGTATTGTGGTGTCGTGCACGGTGGTGGAGGTATGGAGTAGTGGTGGGAACAGAGTTGTGGTGGGTGCGACGATGATGTGCTATTGTGATGCTGTAGGTGCGGTGGTTCGGTGAGTGATGTAGATGTGTGTGGTTGTTGTTGTTGTGGGTAGGGTGAAATATGGTAGTGATTCTGGTGGTGACGATTTTGGTAGTGTTGCAGTTGATGACAATGGTGAGATGATGGTCGCAATTGATTTGGTTGATTGTGACCTTTAAATTGATTAATTCGTGATCAATAAATAATATGTGACCAATAAAAAAATAAATTTTGTTCAAGAAATAATATGTGGCATAAAATTTTGTTAATTTGTGATCGATAATTTGATAATTTGTGATCGAATAATAAATTGTGACTTTATAATATTTGTGATTTTTGACCGATAAATAAATTGTTACTTATAAATTTTTAATTTGAGATCGATGAACAAATTGTGACTTATAAATTTTTTTAATTGTGACTGTAAAATAATTTATGACACATAAAATTTCTAATTTGTCACGGAAAGATAATATTTGACTAACTAAATCATTAATTTGTGATCAAATTGTTTAGATCTATGACTTAATATATTTAATTAATAAAGTTATTAATTAATTAATCAAATCGTACATAAATTTTAACAAGTATCCGATTTTTGAAAAATCATTATCCTTAATTTTGAAATGAATTATACTTAATCTCTTATTATGAATTTTTCTCTTTACAAATTGGTGGAAGAGTATGGACATTCAAATTCTGCAAAAATAAAAAAATAAAAATAAATAAATAAATAAATTCCCTATTTTCATTTGGCACATTGTAAATGATGCCATACCTAATTTGACCTTAAAATTACGATGCATGCAGCATTGCCACCAACCTCATGCTCCCTAATCCTAGCATGCCACTTTTTTAGTTCATCGTTTAGTATTCGGAAAATATAGATATGATTTTGGAATATTTTGAATGGTGGAGGTAGTAGTGAATTTGAGGTGCAAGTGGTAGTTGTAGTTGTGGATCTAAGGTAAGGGTGATTTTGGATTTGAGGTGACAATGATGTGTTTATTTTGGCTACGATAAGTATGAACATTGGTGATGGTAGAGTATACGGATCTAATTTTAGAGTATTTTAGGTGGTTGTAGGTATCGAGAGAGATGCAAACAAATAAACACATAATGGAATAATTCTTTTCCTCAAAAGAAAATAAATAAAACGTCATTTTTGAAAATTATACATCCTGAAAAAATTCTAGGAAAAAAATTCAATCACATGAAACCACAAGGACGGAAGCAATTATTTTATGTGAAAAAATTTCCCTGATGTAAGGAATTAAAACCATAAAAAATAATGGGTATACAAAATCTTCACTAGTGACAATTAGATGTTACAACATATATTTTTTCAAAATGACAAAATTCTTGACAAAACAATATGAAGTAGGAAAAATATACCAACACAGCCAGTTATTGTTCACATCCATTAACCAATGTTCCCGAACTCCAAATTCAATCTCTACTGTTTAGATTATAACTCAGTGTTTTGTGAACCATTCCTTCAAATTTCAGCTTGATCAGACCAATACGACTCAGGATCAAAGCTTTGATGAAGTCTAGGCATAGGGCAAAAGCTATTTTTCTCTCTATTTGAAAACATCTTAAACCTTTATTTTCTTCTATCTTCTTGTATTTATATTTATCCTTAGAATTCGCACCCTAGTGGGCTATAATATAAGATCTCAAACATAGAATTTCCTCCTCATAAGAGAAAACA